CAACGGAGAGCTGCGGGACACCATCGTCCTGGAATCCCCTCCCCAGGCGCAGCCCAGTACTGAGTACCTGACGCTTGGCGGAGGTCCGGGTCTGGCGGACGACATCATGATCTTCCAGTCTGCGTACGAATCCCCCGCCCCCGCCCCCGCCCCGCCCCCTGTCTGGTCCACGTGGAAGTCGTCGGGCGGTGGTCGCTCGAGGCCACATCAACCCCTCCCATCCCTCCCAGCCCCGTTCGGCGTTTTGTTTATTCGTTTATTCATTCACTTGTTGCTGCTGCTGCTGCTGCTGTCATTGCATTGATCCAATGTTTCTTCTTCATGTGTACTGTTGCCCCCTCCCGGTGCAGGCTCGGCCCCGACGACTTCCACGCGCTCTACACCGGCGAATATTGGGCCGACGCAGACGGGGGCTGTCCGCCGGTGCAGCTGCCATCCGTCTCCAGCCCTCCCGCCGGCGGGCCAGTGCTCAACACCACCGTCCAGACGGGCTTCACCTACCAGGGCGCCGGCGCTCCCGCCATCCCCACCAACCCCATCGAGTACGCCTGGGCCGAAACCAACGATGTACGCACCCCCCCCCACTCCCGCCCACACACGCGCCAATGCAACCCCTCCAACCCACCCCCACCCCACCGGCGGCGGCGGCGGCAACAACAGGCGGGCTGCACCACGACGGACATCCCCAACGCGGCCTCGTCCAACGTCTCTGCGCGCATCTTGGCCCTCACCTCCTCGTTGACGTTCTCCTTTTGGGTGCCCCCCCCCATCCATGCCCCCCCCACCCCCCAATCTATCCGCTCCGCACGCCTACCAACCGGCGTGCTGCGTGTTGCGTGGCGTGCTCCAGGTGCGGGAGTCCTATCCGTTCCGCGCGTTCCAGTACTGCTCCGTCCCCGGGTCAGTCCAGGTGCAGGTGTCCGGCGACGCCCCCTACATCACCGACCTCACCTCGAGTATCAACGACATCTCCAACAACACCGGTACTCCCCCCCCGAGGCGTGCTGTATAATAATTTATATAATAATCACTTCCTGAGATAAGAGAGAGAGAGAGAGTTTATGGCTGACGTCACCGATGGTGATGTGCGGGGCGGCACACAGTCGAGGTATTCCTGGGCGAAACGGCGGTGCTGAAGGTGGCCACCGCGGGCTTCCCCGCCCCCTACGTCACCTGGCGCGTCCTTGGCGTACCGCCCCCCCCACCATATCAGTCCCAACCTCCCCCTCTTGCCCGCGTGGGTGGTGCTCAAAGGTGGACTCGTTGTGCGTCGCGATGTTTGGGGGGGGGATCGGGCAGACGGTCGCCACGCTCAACACGACCAGTTGGTTGCCGGTCACGTCGGGCTCCACTCTCTCGCTGACCAATCCGACAAATGCGTCTCTGGCCACGCGCTCTGCTGGCGCTAGAGTGCGCCGCATCGATATTCCGGCCGACGGCACCAACACCACCCGCTACTATCAAGTGTACGCAGCTGCCGCTACACTTACAATTCATTGCTCCCCCACCACCACCACCAACGGCCTTGACCATGACCCTTCCTCTTTTTTTGTGTGTGTTGTTTGTTTGTTTGTTTGTGTGTTTGTTTGTTTGTGTGTTTGTGTGTTTGTTTGTTTGTTTGTTTGTTTGTTTGTTTGTTTGTTTGTTTGTTTGTTTGTTTGGTTTGGTTTGAACACAGTCTCGTGCAGAATGCGGCGGGCAAGCTCGAAAGGAATCTGACTGTCGTCAGCTATAGCGCCATCCGCCCCTCGCCCTCGCCCTCGCCCTCGCCCTCCACCCTCCCCTCCTCAAGCGACGATGGCAAAACGATCGCCCTTGCTGTGGTACCGCCCCTGCCACACCCATCCCCCTATCCACCCTCGCTCGCACCCATCCATCCATCATCATCATCGTCATCCATCGTGCGTGTGGGGGGGGGAGCACATTACTTAATTGGGGCCACCGCCACCACGTGACACAGGGCCTTTCGGTGGGATTGTCGGGCCTGTGCCTGCTTCTGCTGCTCGTGGCTGCCATCATCCTCTTCCTTCGGTGCGCTCCTCGGCGCAAATGCTTGGTTTTATCTCTCTCTCTCTCTTTGACCCGACCACCACCACGGCCACGGTGGTATTATTGTTGGCTCTCTTAGGCCCGCACCTTTTTGGTCACATTAATAATCTTCATAATCGTCGTTGGTGATCAGGTTCCGCGGGCCGAAGGAGTTCAGGGTGGTGCCCCACAAGCCGGACTTCGACCGCCTGGCGTTCGGGACCATCCTCGCCCAGGACTCGCCGCACCTGGACCGCGACCAGACCCGCCACGCCAAGCAGCTCGAGAAGCTCCTCTGCGATGAGGCACGTGCAACACCACCTCTCCCTTCAGCCCCATACCTACCTACCTACCTGCGCTCTCTTGTCTCCATCAATTTCGCCGTCCTACGCCGTCGGCGTCGACGGCGGTCTGTGGGCGCGCGGGGCTTTTGGGACAGTGCAACCAACCGAGTCTTCTGTCACTTGCCTGACGTTGGGGTTGTGGCGTGATTGGCTGGTCTTTGGGGGGGGGGTAACAGAGCTTTGCCGTGGCGGCGGTGGTGTGCGACCAAATGAAGGCCACTGACTCCGAGAATGTGTCCAAGGTGCGAGGAACGTTCACACTTGGCCCCCGCCCTCTTTGCGCTCACACACGACACGACACGACACACACACGACACACATACATGTGTGGGTGCGTGGGTGGCAGGCTCTCACCTATGTGTTTGCCGGCAACGACGCCGCGGTGGAGGCCATCAAATTCTTCGTCACGAAGGAGGTCCTCGTGTCCAGCAGGGTACATACCTCACCGCCCCCCCCCTACCACTCCGCCCCTCAAGCAACACGCGTGTGTCAATGTTGTGCCCGCGGTGATGGCTGGTTGGCTGGTGGTCGGTGGTCGGTGGCAAGCTTGGCTGCGGAGTGTGCACGCCTCACCAGAGGGATTTGCGGCGGCGGGGGGGCATCAGGAGGGAACGCTGTTCCGTGCCAACTCAGTGCCTACCAAGCTCTTCAGCTGCTACTGCCGCATCGTCGGTGCGCACTTCTCCCCCTTCCCTTCTCTCTTTTCCCTGGCACGATCGGACCTTCGTTTGCCAGCGTTGCCCCCCCCTCCCCAACGGTCAGCTGCTGACCCTTTGTGTGCGACGTGTGGACATGGATGGCGATACTTTCTCTCTCTCTCTCTCTCTCTCTCTCTCTCTCTCTCTTTATCTATATATCTATATATATATTTCTTATGGCGCCGTAACGCGGTGGCTGCGTAGGGCTCGAGTACCTGTGGTCGGTGTTCGCTCTGCCGGTGACGGAGCTCAACGTGATGGCGGTGCGCGCCGAGGGTGAGGACAGGGACAAGGGATCCGAGCACAGCAGCTACACCACGACCCTTCTCGGACCCGTCGCCTTCGAGGTCGACCCCACCAAGATGGAGGAGGCCTCCGACCAGTCGGTCAACACCATCCAGCTGTGGCTCGTCGCCCAAAAGCTGCTCTCCAGCCTCATGCGCGCCATCGGCACCCTCCCCAAGGAGCTGCAGGACATCCTGCGCCACGTCTACCACGAGGTGCCCCACCCCCCACCCCCCCTCCCATACCAACCAACGACCCGTGATTGGGGTGGATGACTCAAACGACCAACCCCCAACCCCCAACACCCAACCGCCCAATCACCGGTGGCAGGTGCGGGAGAAGTTCAACGAGGAGGCGGCGAACAAGGCCATCGGCGGGTTCCTGTTCCTCCGCTTCGTGTGCCCGGCCCTCATGGCCCCGCAGGTCTACGGCCTCCTCAAGGAGCCGCCCCACTCGACGGCACAGCGGCAGCTCATCCTCATTGCCAAGGTGCTCCAGAACCTGGCCAACGACACCCTCCCCGGCAAGAAGGAGGGCTACATGGAGAGGCTCAACATGGTACGCACCACCACCACCGCACCACCACCGCACACACACCGCACCAATGGACCGCTCCCGTCCCTGCTTCTCACCCTGGTCATCATTATTCATGCGCCACTGCCATATGATGCGCTCTAGTTCATCACGACCAACCAAGAGCCACTCAAGCACTACTACCGCAACCTCATCGAGGGCCACGACGGACCCTCGGGGGCGCGCGCCGTGCCCGAGGATGTCATGGTCAAGGTAACGACACACATGCACGCCCACATCTACCCCAACCTCGACAAGATCACCTCCGCGCTCGACGCCTCCGAGCACGCCGACCACTCCGCCCCCTTGCGAGAGGTACGCCCCCCCCCGCCGCTTGCTGCCCCGCCCCCGTTTTCCGTTCGTTTCTCACGTGTGTGCGCGTGGTCGCTGGTGTCACTCCAGTGCGTCGAAGGGATGGGCGAGCCCGAGGCCGACTTCGCCTGAGCCCAGCCCATCTGGCGCCTTCCCTCCCTCCCTCCCTCCCTGCTGCTGCTGCCCTTCAAGGCAGCTCGTGGCCTTTCGTTCCCCTGTACCATACCACACCACGCCATACCCCCCCCCACCCCCCTTTCTCCTGTCCGGTAGGGCCACGCGCCGGCACAAAAAACCCCACATGATATTTGTCGACTACTGTTCCTCTAAAAGGCCCCAGCGCACACGAGCCTTTTCGTTCCTCACGCCACGGCCGTTAATCTCGCCCCCCCCCATACAAAATGAGAAGAACGATCGCCACCCACTGCAACCTGGCCGCCCTCCCCATGCGCCGCGGCTTTGCCTCCGCTGTCCCTGCGGCACGCCGCCTCGAAGGCAAGGTGGCCATCATCACTGGCGCCGCCAACGGCATCGGTCGCGAGGCCAGCCTCATTTTTGCGCGCCAGGGCGCCAAGATCGTGGCCGTCGACCTCGGCGATGCGCGCGAGACCGTACGCTCCCTCCCCCACACCAAGTTTTCGGGGTTTCGTTTCTACGTCGTTTGATTTGTTTGATTTGATTTTGTGGCGTGGCTGGTGGTGGTCAGGTCGAGGGAGTGAAGGCCGAGGGCGGCGAGGCCGTGTACGTCAAGGCCGACGTGTCGAAGGCGGGCGACTGCGAGAACATGGTGCAGGTGGCCGAGAAGACCTTCGGCAAGGTCAACATCCTCTTCAACAACGCCGGCATTATGCACGGCGACGACAATGGCGCCACCGACACCGAGGAGAAGATCTGGGACCTCACCATGAACGTCAACGCCAAGGGCGTGTTCTTCGGCTGTACGCTCCTCCCCTCGCCGCTCGTTTTTTTTTGCTTTGTTGGTGCGGTGCCCCCCCCCCCACCAGCTCCTAGCAGCTCACTTGACGTCGGGGCTGGGTGCGATGATTGTGATCCGCGCGTCGTATATGTTTGCTGCACAGGCAAGTACGGCATCCCCGCTCTCCGTCGGGCCGGCGGCGGTTCCATCATCAACGTACGTGATGCCCCCCCCCCCCCGGAGGACGCTGCATGGCTGGGCGGCTGTTGCGCGTTCGTTCCGGCTCACAGCGCTTCGTCCGTGTCGCGCATGCAGACGGCCTCGTTCGTGGCCATCCTCGGGGCTGCCACCTCGCAAATCGCGTACACGGCGAGCAAGGGAGCCGTTCTTTGTGCGCCCCCCCCCCGCTGGCATGCGGCTGCATGGCTGGGTCGTGGCTGGTGGCTGGTGGTTGAGGCCTCACCGCTGTGCATCCTCCCTCTCCGCGCGTCGCAGCCATGAGCAGGGAGCTGGCGGTGATCCACGCCCGTGAAAACATCCGCGTCAACGCGCTCTGTACGTCATCACGTCGTTTTCCTCTCGTGTGTCGTGTGTGTCATGTGTGTCGTGTGTGCCGCGTAGGGTCCGCCCACGTTCAACTCCATTAATTAGTTTATTTTCACCCACTTACCTACCTGGTTGTGTTGATGCCGCTGCCCACCAGGCCCTGGTCCGCTCAAGACGGAGCTGTTGATGTCCTTCCTCAACACCGACGAGAAGAAGCAGCGTCGCCTTGTCCACGTGCCAATGGGCCGCTTCGGCGAGGCACAGGAAATCGCCCAGAGTGCCCTCTTCCTGGCCTCCGACGAGTCGTCCTACATCACGGGCTCCACCTTCCTTGTGGATGGTGGCATCACGGCCGCCTATGTCACCCCCCAGTAGGATCGTGTTGCTGGCTCACCTTGGCTCTCTTTGGAGAGAGAGAGAGAAAAAACACATATTTGTGTGCGCATAGCTTTCTGACTGGGTTCAGCTGGTGCTTGGGGTAGCTTGCAGGCTCTCGACGATATGCACGGCGGGCGGAGTCATGTCCACTGTGCCGGCGTGAAACACGAGGGAGTGGAAGTGTGGAAGAGACGACAGCTTGGCCCGGATACGATCCAGGTCGTTGGGCATCTTGGTGATCAGCATAAGAAAGCCTGGTAAAATTAAACAACGGTGTGAGCGCGTACTGTGGCAAGGAGCGGCAAGACGCACCTCCACCACCCGCGCCGCCCAGAGCACAGCCGTAGATGCAGTCCTGGACGCATTCGATCATCGCCGTCACCTCGGCAGGCTCGGCACCACCTGGGAACGGAGTGAAGACAGTCAACAGAGCCACAGCAGCTTCACCAACGCGAGCGGGAGGGTGAATCGCGTTCTGGGTGGTGTGTGTACCGGCCATGGCCTTCTTTTGCGTCCAGTAGGTGCCCAAGCAGGCGCCCACTGCTGGAAGATTCCCAGCTAGGAGAGCGGCGCGCAGGAGGTGTGCGTTGCCCACCAGATCCGCCGTCAGCCGCACAATCTCGGGCCTCCTGCAAGCCCACCCACCACAAACGGGAATCGGGGGGGGGGGGTTAGGTGTCGTGTGTGTCGTGTGTGTGTCGTGCGGGTAGGCAGCACCTGGCGTGCCACCGCCTCAGGACATCCTGGAGGAGGCCTCGCGCGAGACGCGTGCGGCCTTGTTGTTGTTGTTGTTGTTGTTGTTGTCAGAGGTTGAGCCAAGCAGAGGCAGTGAGGCAGGGGAGGAGGGAACCGGTGTAAATGCAGATCATGTGCTGGTTGAGGGTGTCGATGAAGCTCTCCGGGACGTCGAGGACCTCGAACTCGATGGAGAGAGGCAGCGACGCGGGGGACTCGGAGAACTTGATGCCGGGGAGCAGTCCGCCCACTTGGTCCTGCCATCCTCCGCCCGTGGTCAACATCTGTTCCACCTGCCCTCGCGCCCACACCCACCGTCACCGCCCAGCATCCGTGTGAGAGCCACGTCATGGCCATCGTCATCATCATCACCGCTACCCCGCCACACCGCCAGCAGCTCCTGTGCTCGCCAGATCTCTCCACGGCGACCACACAGAAAGGAGGCGCGCCACGAGGACTGCATGGGCCAGGGAGCGCGGGTCGAAGTCGCGGCCAATGGCGGCGCCGATGGCCTTGAGCAGTGCCCCTGCCATGATGCTCGATGTGCCCAGTCCCGAACCTGTTGCCGTCCATGCGCCCGCGTGAACACACCACACCACGCCACACCACACACACCACACACCACACACCACACACCACACACACCACACACCACACACTACACACCACACACCACACACACCACACATCACAGAGAGAGAGAGCGAGAGGACAGGCGGCAGCGGCTGGAATGGGAGGGCGTGCGCACCTTGGGGCAGGGAGGTGGCGCAGACGACGTGCAGGCCTGAGCCGAGGGCCTGCTGCAGCTGCTCCCGCAGGTCCTGCGCGGAGGAGAGGGACACGAGGCCCATGTACAGCAGCACCTGGTCCCCACCATCCATCCATCCCCCCCCACCGCCCGCCCACCATACATGACGGAGAAAATCATCGTCGTCGTCATCGTCATGGTACCCGTGTGGGTGGTGTAGATGAATTCGTGTAAACGGGCGCGTGGGTGGGGGCGGGCGGGGGGCAGCGCATACCGTTTTGACGAGGGCGCCCGGGGCCAGCGGCTGGGCGTGGTCGGACAGGTCGCCGAGCTGCGTGCACACGGTGTGCTCCTCGCCCACGTCGATCACCACTTCCCAGGCCTCGATCCGCCGCGCCCTTGCTGCTCGCGCGTGAGCCACCACCACCCACTACTACGCGTGCCCCTTCCCTTTGGCCAAGACGACGACGTACCGGTGATGGGCTTCTTGCCGTCGATCAGCAGCGCCTGCGCCACATCCGCAAAGGCGCCCACCACCCACCCACCAACCACCAACCACGTAGCCGGCCCCACCAACAAGCGCGCGCGTTACAATGGGCGAAAATGCGGGAGGCCCTTCTTGCCCGCGGGGTATTTTGGAGGAGAAGGGGCCACGCACGATGTTCACCACGCAGCCTCCGCGCTCGAAGGTGATGGGCGGCGTATCTACGCCCCCCCCCCCACCGCGGTGGTGGTGGTGGTGGCCATTAGATGGATG